GCAGCCCAGGTCAGGCAGGTGCTGGGGACCCCAAGGCCGAGCTCCAGTGGGAGCTGGGGAGCTGAGAGGCAGTGCGGGAGCCTGTGAGGGACCGACCCGCCCCCGCCCCCCACCTCTGAGGAGGGAGGGAGCAGCTGGGCCGGCTGCCTCCTGTCCTCGCACAGGGTCTCCCAGGAAACGGAGGCGGGGTGCAGTCTGGCCCGGCTTCTGCGGTTTCCTGTGTTGGAGACTCGAACCCCCTTCCGTGAAGCAGCCGTCCTGCTGATGGGAAGGGTGTGATTGCTTTTTAAGGAAAACCTGCCCGATTTTAAAAATAGTAGCCCCAGCCCTAGCCGGTTTGACTCAGTGGATAGAGTGTCGGCCTGTGAACTGAAGGGTCCCAGGTTTGACTCCGGTCAAGGGCACAGGCCCAGGTTGCGGGATCGATCCCTAGTAGGGGGCGTGCAGGAGGCAGCCGATCAATGACTCTCGTCACTGATGTTTCTTTCTCTCTCCCTCTTCCTTCCTCTCTGAGGTCAATAAAAATATATTTTAAAAAATTAGTAGCCCGCCTAGGGAACCTCAAACAGCTCCCCGGTCCCCTCTCTTTCCTGGTTTCCCGGCCCCAGAAGACAAACTGGACACAAAGGGATGTATTGCAGGCTGTTATGGGCTACACTGTGTCCCCCAAATTTATATGTTGGAATTCTAACCCCCAGGACCTCTGAAGGCGACCGTACTTGGAGATAGGGTCTTTTGAGGGTGAGTGAGGTTAACGAGGTCACTGGGGGGCCGGGATCCCATGTGACTGGCATCCTTATAAGGGCATGGGCACAGACAGGCCAGGGGGAGGTCTGTGAGGACGGGGAGACGGCACCCACCAGCCAACAGACGAAGACGTGAAGGAACAGACCAGCCGACACCTTGACCTCAGGCGCCCAGGCTCCAGGATGGTGAGGAACCAGTGCCTGTTGCTCAGGCCCCGCAGACTGCAGGCTGCGGCTCCTCGTCCCGGCAGCCCTCGCACACAGAGACGACTTCCGAGAGGCCGGGCATTATTCTTCATTACTTAACGGATCTCAGGAGAAAACAGGGTGTGGTCACCAGAGCTTCCCCACCAGCCTGTGCCGTGCATCGAGGAGCAGAGTGTGGTGTCCCCTCCTCGTTCCTCCCGGCTGGTTGGTTGGGGCTTTTATCAAAGCCGATTCTGGGGAAGCCTGGCCCGTGTGGCTCAGTGGTTGACCATCGGCCGTTGAGCCAGGAGGTCACGGTTCAATTCTCAGTCAGGGCACAGGCCCGGGTTTTGGGCTTGATCCCCCGTGGCAGGGAGTGTGCCGGAGGCGGCCGATCGATGATTCTCTCACCATTGATGTTTCTACCTCTCCCTCCCTCTCCCTTCCTCTCTGAAATAAATAAAAATATTTTAAAAGGGGCGGGGGGTGCTGTTCATGAAGTGTGTTTAGATGCCAACCTTGCACCGTGTGCCCATAGTTCACGATTGTCAAGACCAGCCTGTGGGCTGTGGGTCTGACCCAGTGCTCCCGGGCCTGCGATTACAGAAATGGGACGCTCCCCTGCCACAGACGCCATAACAAACAGAGCAGACACCCGGGGGGAGAAGAGGATTCCGCAGGCAGCCGGATGCGCCAGAACGCAATCAGTCTGCACACAGGTCCGGCTGCCTGCGCAGAGGCCGCGTCAGGCTCAGGGTCCAGGCCTCGGACGAGAGTGTGGGGCGCAGCGCCCTGCGGCCCGTGGAGAGCCTGCGCCGGCGCCAGGACGGACGCTGGAACAAGTGGCTGGAATAACTCCGATCTCTTTCCATTTGCAGGAGACGCTGACATCACAAAACACGAAAATGATTTCGTCCTTAGTCATTTCGCAGCTGCTCGATGAGAACAAGCCCACGGAGAAGGGGGCCGCCGTGCCCGCGCTGTGCGCCGACGCTCAGCCGCCCACGTGGCCCGGGAAGTGCGCTCTGGCCAGCCGCAGCGGGGTCACCATCAACAGGGCCTTCGCGTTCCTTCCCGGCCAGCTAGGACCTCAGCCACCGGCCGGGGTGCCAGGACCGAAGCCTGCGCTCACCCCCAAAGAGGAGAAGCAGCCGGGCGGCAGCCCCCAGAAGGGGTTTGCATCCATCACCATCACGGCCCGGCGTGTGGGCCCCCCGGCCAGGGCCCTGGTGTGGGGCACCGGGGGGGACCCGCTGTGCAGCCGGTGCCGGGCCCAGGACCCTCAGCTCAGGGGCCCCCCTGCTCTGGCCAGCGGCGCTGACCCCGGTCGGCACCACGGACCTCTCGCCTGCACGGAACCCTCCAGAAGCAGCCCTGTGATGCGGCTGGGGTTCCCGGAGGCCCACGCCCAGCTG